AGGGCTGGGTGGATCTGAACTTGGAGGCTGACTGCTGGTCTCAGGGCAATCCTTTAATATCCAGCAACCTAAGGATGAGGTAGGAGTCCTGGTGTCGTAGTGGCTACCAGTTGGGCTGCCAACCATAAGGTCAGTGATGTGAACCCACCAACCACGCTGAGGGCGAAAGATGGGCTTTCTACTCACCTGAAGAGTTACAGTCTTGGAACTCACAAAGGCAGTTCTACCCTGTCCTATCCTGGGGTTACTATGAGTTGGGTGAGTGGGGGGTTTTGGGGAACGATGAAGTGTTTGTTGTTAGTTGCCCACATGTCAATTCTACCACACGCTGACCCTAGGTGTGTCGGAGCAGAATTGTACTCCACGGGGTTTTCAATGCTCTTAACATTTTGAAAACACATCACCAGGCCTGTTTTCCCAGGCTCCTCCAGTTGTGTTTGAACTGCCAACCTTCTGGTTAGGAGGTCAAGCACCATCCAGAGACACCATAAAGATGAGGAGACGGGAACAAACTTTAGAAATATGTCAGGACCAATTTCACTGCCTGAAAGTTGGCCTGAGGTAGACAGATCACGTCCAAGGTTAAGACTGGGCAAAAAAAAAAAGAATGGGCCTAGCAAATCTCGCAAGGCACTCCCACTGGCCCTGGCAAAATGTCATGTCAGACTGGCGGCCCTTTGTAGCCCAATAATCTGAAGACGCAAGATACAGGAATAATTAACTTCCTGTGACATTTAGAAGAAAACTGAAATGGGAGTTTACACCTATCCTAAGGGATAGTTCACTGTCAGTCTGCAGTTAATCGAAACTATTTCAATTGTAAAAATAAAGCTCACATACTATGAGTTGGGGCTTCAAAAAGTTTATGGAAAATGGAATTAAGAGGTTATGGAGTTTTTCCACAAACGTTGTGAACCTCCCCTCAAATATATAGAGAGGTAGACAAAGAAAAAGAGAAAACGAATCAAACAAATGACTTCCACGAATTTCACCTCTTGCTCTATCCATTTCAAGAAGCTAACTGCTTAAAATATTTAAAGCACATAGCAAGCACTCAAGCTTTTTTCAATGAATGAAAAGGGGCATGGAAGATAAGCAGTTAGCCAGCAACTCCAACATGTAAAATATCCTAAGGTGAAAAGAGGATACTGAATTTCAATTAAAGGCAACATCGTGAACTCAAAATGCTCATTTTCAAACACACACAGATAAACCTTCTTAAGATGATCAACCACGTGTGCAGGTCTGACGGCAAAGATTTGTATCTAATAAATGGTTCCTTCCACATGGAATAGAGTTCACATCTTATGCCAGAAACTACCATTTTCTTAAGCTGAGGTGTCCAAAAGGTTTTCAAAAGTACACTGACTGCTAAATTGAAATGTACTTTAATCAGATGTCATGATACATAAATATGAGGAGGCAGAGGCTGAGAGAGAGCCAGCCGTAAAAATAGGTAAAATATTTCCTTTCAAACCCGTTCCAGTGTAACTGCCCAGCTCACAGTACAGGGAAGGCAGTGGAGGAGCATCTCCCAGTGAACAGATGGTAAGACCACCACCGAAAAGTAACCAAGCCAAAATTATGGTCAAACCCTAGTTGCAAAACATATCCAAAAAAATGTGGCAAGAAGTATAAACAAGCTGCTTTACTGTCAGCCTCCAGAGGCTAGTTATTAGCCTGGAGCAACTGGGCAGGCCATTGTCATGTCATCCAAGCAAACTGGAACCTGAAGAAGTGAAATTCTAATCTACCAGAGGTCATTTGCCAGTATAATCAATGGGCTCTCCTTCCCAAGGTTTAAGTCAGAATAAACACACGGTTTTCCTTCCTTCTGGTCTCCAACGCAAGCAAAAAAAAACAAACACCTCACTGCCATCAACTTGATGCCAACTCATAGCAACCCTACAGCACAAAGTAGAACTATCCCTGTGAGTTTCTGAGACTGAAACTCTTTACCAGAGTAGAAAGCTCATCATCTTCTTGTCTTTGTCCCTCAGAGGCTGGTGGTTTCGAACTGTAGACTGTGTGGTTACCAAACCAACCCATAAGCACTACACCACTAAGGCTCCTTTACCAGTGGAAGCAGCAGGACTGAAATCATCAGTTTTACTTCAAACAGAGAAGCAAAGTAGATGCTAAAGAGTGATTTTTTTGTTCCCAACTCTCCAAAAACTGGCTCTACTGTGGGAAATTGCAGGTAGCAAACAAACAAAAAGGTACAACCTTCAAAAATGTCGTAGAAATAATCCATTATCTTTTTCTTTCTTTTCTTTTTAAGTACATTAGCTGTTAACTTCCTCTTTCCAAATACTGCAAAACAGGTGGAGGTTTAGCCATGAATTTTTTGACGCCCCCTCAAACAAACTTTCTTCACCATTACTGAGTGACACTATCCATATCACTGAACTTTTCTGAGCTTCATCTAAAAAGGGAGGCTAATACTTAATGACTTACCAGGGCTGTTTGAAGATCTTACAAGGTAACATAAAACCACTGAATTCAGTTCCTGGAATACAGAAATGCTCAGCAAATAAACAATCCTCTCTCCTCCTGCCATTCCCTAGCACCGGACAGCCCATTGCAACCCCTGGATCAGTCTCCAGCGACTAAGCTGATGTTTTGGCCAGTAACCTACCACCCCTCCCTCAGGCCCCAGCTGTTTCACTCCCAGTTTCTAAGAGGATCTAGTCTATATTTAGAGGCAATGCCAGTACCAACTGTGGATTCAACAGGTGCTTGGAGGGCACTTGAGCACTCAGCAGTTTTCAATTGTTTCCCACAGTTCATTGGTTTGGGCTCACAACTGGCTGACTTCTACAAGGAGGCATGCCACGTGTGCATTACTACACCAAACAGAAAATTAGTGCACTCACCGGGAAAACCCTCAGCCAGATGGTTTCAGGAGCCTGTAAACGAGCGGTTCTCAACCTGTGGGTCGAGACCCTTTCACAGGGGCCGCCCAATTCATAGCAGTAGCAAAATGACAGTGATAAAGTAGCAACGAAAATAATTTTATGGTTAAAAAAATACTAATTTTACGGTTGAGGGGTCACCACAACATGAGGAACTGTATAAAGGGTCGAGGCATTAGGAAGGTTGAAAACCACTGCCGTAAACTATTTACCAGGACTAGGGGAGTTTTGTTCAGTCACAAAGGCAGAGGACCTTCAATAAACTGTACAGGTGTAGCCTACAAACCCACTCTACAGTTAATTTCAACCCAAATTTCAATTAAGTCATACTGCTTGTGCCACCACCAAGATGGGGGTGGGGGGGTAGGAGGGAAGAGAGAGGGTTGCAGGAAGAATGCCAGGCAGTGAAGACTTACAGGGGACAGTCAAGGTTGATTTGAATCCAGCTTCATTATTTACCAGCTTTGTGACCTTACTTAACCTCATCATTTATGAAATGAGAAATAAAAGTATTTCACTTAAAGAGTTGTGAAGATGACATTAAATGAGATAATGCACGCAAACCAAACTTAGGGCCATTTAAGAAGTCGATTAAGAGCCATATGATCACTAAGGAGGATACTGCACTCATTCTTGCTCTGTTCTGTTTTTACAACATATTTGAAAAGGCAATGTAGAACATTACTTTTTGGATCTTTGTAAAGCAGCCTGATACTACTTTCTTAAAAACCAACTGATGAAGTCACAAAAAAATCTTATGTGTCAGCAAAATGCCATGCCTAATAAAAGCCTTCCTTCACGTGAGCTAATCATGAATAAGAGTGAACTACCATGTCCAAGCAGCTATCTTCTAGCTTCCAACTTTGGCCTAGAAATTCAAAGGATAATGCAAAAATCACCACCTCGCACACACTTTCCCACAATTTTCTCAACTCACCTGAATTCAAATTGGAAGGCATGAGGCAGCCTACGAATTCAAAAATCCACTATCAAGAAACAATTTCTTGAAGCGGAGCCCAATTAGCACGGAACCAATGAACAGATGATACATAATCATTTCTCAGTGAGAAACAGCAATTCTAACGAAGTACCTAGAATTTGAATTTGGCCTTTTGACCTGGGGGAAGGGTGACCACACGAAAAATGAAATAAACAGCAGCAAACTCTTGGTTTAGCACTCCCCCTCCCCCCGAAAAATAAAAAATCCTCAACTCTACATTACCAATGATCCGACTAAACACCAAATTCCTATTTGGAGTGATCTGTCCTTTTCCTGCTTCATTAATGAAAGATAAATTACATACAGGGACCTGCTTAATTGGGAGGAAATACACATTACAGACACGCATTAACAAGAAAGCAGTCTTTCAGTGATAAGCAAATCATTAAAAGGAGCTTGTACTCCTAAGCAGAGGGAAAGCCTGAGAAAGAGCCACCTTCTAAGAACCCAATCGTCCACGATGAATTGGAAGAAAGATGCCACTCTGGTCCACCTATCCTATGCTCTCTCCCTTCGGCTGTAATCCGAGCGCCGACCGGTTCTATTGTATTTCTCTGGCCCCTTTTCCATACTTCTCATTCCGTCCTCCCTCCATTCCAATAATGCCTCCTGGTCTGTATTTTCAAGTCCCACTATTTCCCCCAATTCCTAAGGACCTCGGACACCAAGATGCTGACCTGGCGCATCCCACGGCATTACCAATTCTTAGGACTTCTCCGTCTTAACGACCCGTGCTTGGATTCTTTTCGATCCCTCTCGTTGTTTCTTCAAACCCAATGCCCCGCACACGCTCACCCCGGAGTCCCCTTTCCCTCCATTGTTTCGCCGGCCTTTCCCTCGCGAAACTCGCCCCCGCCCCCCAGACTTGGAGCCGAGCGCCTCGCCGGCCCCCACAAAGCCCAGAGCTCCCCCACCCGCTGGGCGCTTCAAGTCCCCAAGGGCTCGGTTTCCTCTCGCCTCCGGATCCCCTCCCCCAACAACTGCCCCCTCCCCCTTTGTCCTCCCCCAAGCCCGCTCTCAGCCCCTCTGTGGTCCCTTTTGGCACCCACCAACCCCTCTTACGCACACCCCCCGGCCTCGCTTACTCGGTGTCCCCGCCAACGCCGTGTCCCCCAGTTCCGGGCTCTGCGTCTGGGACGCTCCGGGGTCTGAGGAAAGGAGCTCCTCCGCCTCCGCTTCTCTAGC